CATTTATATCTACATTTCTTACTTCTGCAAGGTTAAAAGGCTCACTGCACTGGAAATATGAACACTTTATGTTATTTTGTTCAATCTACTTTCCCCTGTAAACTCTGACAGAAATTCTAGGTAATCTTAGTAGATTCATTAACTTCCTGTTTAACCACTACTTCTCTAACACTTCTTATGGTTAGATATTGGTCATAATAACACTAACCTTTCAGGAGAACTATGAGAAATTAAACCAAGTTGACAAACCATCTGAGCTTGAATAGATCCTACACAGTGACCATCTGTCATTTATTCACCATACTGAATGCTTTTCAAAATGCCAACCATGCAGTGTTTAACTTATCCTCACAGAGCAGACAAATATCTAACCATAAGAAGTGTTAGAGAAGTAGTGGTTAAACAGGAAGTTAATGAATTCAATAATTATTTTTAAAAATGATATTAATAATTTCAAAGTATTTTATTTTATGTACCTACCTGTCTTTGAAAGGCTAACTACTAAGATTACCTAGAATTTCTGTCAGAGTTTACAGGTAAAAATCCAGGTCTCCACTTTGTAAGCTTTAAGTGTCATCTGTTCCAAGGCCAATCACTGATTCCTGGGACTTTCTGAGAAGGACCAACTTCAGAAGAACCTGCACTAAAATAACACCAGAAGTCTCGAGAGGAGGTAAAAGTTTAACACTTGAAGAGTAATGGAGATGTAGAGTTTGTGGAGGATCAAGCAATCCCTCCCTCCTCCTCTCTGATGATGAGGCCATTTAATTAATTCTCCTGTTTCTGTGATGCTAGATGTGCTCAAGCCACTATGCTGCAAAATCTCAATTAGCTTCCACATGAAAAATGCTGAACTGTGGTCCCCACAGAGTGCCTGTCTACCAGATCTGATGCTAGAAGCATAAAAGCACAGCAGGGAGAAGCCTAAGTGCAGGAAGGGCCTGCATTTACACAAAAGGGTAAAGATCTGGTGGGAGGATTGAGGAGCAAACTCTGTAGAAAGTGATGGTGACTCAGGCACCATTCGTCAAGTTGACCATGGCACAAAGAAGCTTGTCTGGATGACTCCGCTTACAGGCTGTGCATAAGGAAGGCACAAGCTCAGCTGACATTCCTTTACCAGGGCCTCTGAGAGAAAGACCCCTCCAAAGAACCCAATGTGTACCCCACCATCCTAGGACAGCCTTCTGCCCCCATCGAAAACTGGGTTAAATAACCCTAAGTTATTGCAGGCTGATCAGGCCTCCAATCTCCCAAGCAGAGTAGACAGCGAATGCTTAAATAAATGCAGACAACAGCAATGATTTTAGGGCACCAGGAGGGACTAACTCTCTTACAGCTTCAGTATTCTCTGTTAGCCAAAGACTGCTCTGGGTGACTCATATTTATTTGGTTTTCAAACAAAGGGAGAGGATGCTCAAGAAAATGCAGGAATCTCGCAGGACCTTGGGAGAATTTTCCCAAGTAGTAAATTATGTCGATCAGAACTACCTTAACTGTAGGTTGGTATTTATTGTAGGAGTATGGAGCCTGCAGCTGCAGTCTCCTTGTAGTAATTGTGGTTGGAGCCAAACGTCTTCAGCTGTGGCCTTATTTTGTCAGACAAGGTGCCTAAGCTTCACACAACTCACAAGTAAACACGGAAAGCCAACTGGTTATTATTGAATCCTGCTCAGAGCCTGCTCAGGTCCCCTACACACCGCAAAGAAACGGATGGCCCCATGTGGATTCAGTGACTATCAACAGGAGAAAGAAGCCAGTAGATGTGTGAAAAGTCTTCTTCCTCTTCCTCCTTCTCTCCCTACAAGAGCAAGAGCAGAAAGAGAGGGTAAAAAGATACACACTTTGATGTCTTCATTTCCAAGCTGCTAGAACTAGAGGGGTACCGCCTACTTATAAAAAGTAGGCAATAGATTTAAAAGTATTAAAATTTGAAATTAAGCTGTTTCAATGTTATGATCTTTTTGTTTTAAAGAGAAAAGAAAAAATAACAATAAAGGTAAAAATAAAACAACACAATAACAATAAAAATGATACAGAATTTCTAAACAAGATGATAGGAAATTAACAATGGCTGTTCAATCAACATTATAATTTGGATCTTAAATGTCCCCCAAAAGATCATGTACTGAAGTCTTCATCCCCACTGATGGCACTATTCGGAGGTGAGCCAAACTTTAGGAAGCAGAGGTCTAGTTAGTGGAAATAGGGCCTTGTAGGAAGGCGCTTGAAGCATAAACTGGGACCCTCATCCCTTCATGTCTCTCTCTGGCTCCGGCCCTCATGCAGTGACAGCCCTGTTCTACCCTACTCTCCCCACCATGATGCTCTCCCTTCCCACAGGCCCACAGTGATGGGGCCACGCCAGTGTGGACCAGCACCCCTTTTCAGCTGATCTCTATAGATACCTTATTATACTAAAAAAAAAGCTAGCAAATTTATTAGCTGCAAGCGTTTGAAAAATTACATAAATGGCCTTAGCCATTATTAAAAGAGCCAGATATCCGACAAAAAGCAAGAATTGAAAAGGCACAAAACCAACATTCAGGAGAAACAGTAATGCTGACAAATCCAAACCAAGCCCGTGTGGGTGTTCCGTTAGTTATGTCACTATTCTCTGACTTTCAGTCTCCATTGCTCTAGTTTCTAGATCAGTGTAAATAAGACACAGACATTTTCCTGGCAGAATCTGTCTTAAGAGATTTTACATCACAGAATGAACTCACAATGTATTCACAGAATAATCACTATCCAGCACAACTATTATACAGAATGCACTTCTCCTGTACTCTGTGTCCGTGTGTGCTCAGACCCATGCGTGCTCTCCCCCTAATGTGCTCCACAGTGGACACTGCTGACCCCTGAGCATTCCATTCCCTCTGCCTTCCAGTTGGCTTCAGCTGGTGGGAATACTTTTAAGCTAATGCCCCATATCGCATCCTTTCTGTTGATATGGGATATTTTCCTGATCGAACACTGACAAAACTAACTCGATCCCATCCATCCTCCACACTGTGCATAGACTCTGAGATTGGGGGCAAATACACTCACACTTAATGTCAGGATTTTCTGTTTCTTATAGCAAAACACCTGGGGCTGTGTAACTCATAAAGTGGCTTATTTAAACTAGAAATGTGGAAGCTGAATGTTGAAATATCATGGGGATAGCTCTTATGCAGACCTCCTTGGCTGGATCACAGCATTGAGAATGACCCTATGGTGGGAGGACATGCAAGACAGACAGACTGCATGGTGAGACAGGATGCCCAGAGGGTGGGGAGAGGGCGAGCTCACTCCTTCAGTACTCAGTGTCTCAGAAACTAATCGGGTTCCTCCAGAACTACATTAATCCCTTCTGAGGGAAGCACCCCCATAGACTAATCAGCCCTTTCTAGACATTGTTTTAAAGAGCCTGCTGCCACAACACCATTTCCACATGGAAGAACAGGTTGCTAACACACAGCCCTCAAGGTACACACTCAACTTACGTCCCAACCATAGCAAGGGGATTTCACATTGATTGATTAATCTTTAACTAAAGTTTAAAGAAAGTGAGAAATGTACCCGTATTCGAGGTCCATTACCAATCTCAAATTTTCAAAGGAAAAGTGACAGCCATCAAGAAGGCCCGGGAGCCTCAAGTTCTGTTTCTCAGTCTCTGGGACAAATGGATGTAGCACTACACCCTCCATATTCACAGTGGAAGAGGGAGAATTGGGGGAGTCCATGTTTTCTTCCAGGGTAGTTAAGTAAATCCCTGGAAAAGAGATTATAAAACCTATTAAACTGCGATTGAAAACAAAATTAGATTTCCTTCAGACAGAAGGCAGATTCAGAAGACGAATCTATGTGTTCATTCAACAAATACATATTGGTTGTCAGTTCTAGGTGCTGTAAATACAGATATAAATAAAACAAGGAAAAATCCCTACAGCAAAAGAAATGAATAATATTATTTCAGCAAAATATGAGTGCCACGAAGAAAAATACAAGCAGGAAAGGAGTGGGATAGTGATTATGGAAGTTTACTGTTGGCAGCATGTCAGAGAAAGCCAATGAAAATATGACAAGTCAGAGTCAGACTGATGAGGGGGATTTTGAGTGTGAGGAAAGCGCATTCCCAGAAGACAGGACAGCAGGGACAGAATGAATGCCCGATGCAAGGGTGCAGAATAGGTCAGAGGAATTCCAACTTGGTTCCAGTTGTGCCTTTATGGTTCTGTACTATATTCAATTTTTTTAAATACCAGAGAAATTGGAAGCACTCATCTTTGGTTTCCCTTCCAACTTTTCCAGCACACAGGAGCACACACACACGCACATACACACACACACACACCCCACAACTAAAACTCCATCGCCCAACTCTTCTTGATAAATCGTTTATAAATTGTTGTAAATGTCCATATCATTTGTGCTGGCTCAGCCAGTGTTTCCTTAAGTGATAATTTCTAGACCACTTCCTGTAAAGTCATTTTCACCTGCCTCTAAGAAATACGGAATCAGAACCCTGGGTTTGAGCCTTATTGATGAGAGCTCATCCAAGTAATGTTTATGCACACAAAGACTAAAGGTCCCTGGGCTAGGCACCCAGCCTTCATGCCACAGAATTTAGCATTCTGTGGTTGATGAAGATGCAGTTGTCCAGGAAGTTTATAAAATTTCACAATAATTTTCCAGTTCATCTCCACGAAAGTCCCATCTAAATGCAAAGCCATCAACTGGTATGAAAATACACAAACAAGATTTAAAAACATAATTCAACTTATAATTCTAAGGGACTAATTTTTAAAACCACACTGAGAATTTTATCAGCATTGCTAGCCGTTCCTCTGTGTGTCTCCCTCTCAGCCAAGAAAAAGAAAATTGGGGCCAATTTTTAACACAGTCTGGAAAAGCATTTGTTCACCTCTCTCCATCCCAGGGATGATGTACGCCTTTATGTAAGTGGTTGAAACAAAACTCTAAGGCTGAGTATGCGGTTTTGGGAGAGCATTTACCTTAGCATGTGTGAGGCCCTGCATGCAAGCTGCAGCTACTCTTCGGTGTCCTTTCCCCTGTTGCACACCGGCACTATGTAGTTACCAAAATCACAGAAAATTATGCTCAGGCTAAGGCGTCTTTAAAAATTATTATATCTGATTTATACAAATAATCTGATAGTTCAGAAGTATTATGTAATTATAATATGAGGTGCAGTTAAATACAGTAAATGTGTACACTGTTTTAAAAAATTATTACAGTAAAAGACATTTTGCAATTAATTCCCCTAAAAATACTCCCCCTTCCTTCAAACATAATTCTTCTATTGTCCTTACCACTTTCTGAGGCATTTCTGGAAATCTTCTTTCATGGGTGTTACACTGCCCTTACTGTCTCCAAGTCCTGAAAGGATACAAAATGTTCTCTTTCATGGTCATTTTGACTTTGAGGAAGAGCCAGAATTTGCAAGGTGACAGATCCAATGAATAGGATGGATAAGGACATACCATAATGTTCATAGAAACCTGCCTTTCCACTGAAGGGCACTCAGCAACAGCATTCACCAGAGTTGTAATTGTACCTGTTAAAGACAGTCCAGAAGAAGAACGCCAGAACTGCTTCAGAGTCATAAGAACAATTGGATAGGTGTCTTTGATGTGAGGGAATTTCAAGGAGAATGAATGGTAATGTGTTTTATACTGCAATATGTTTTTAAGTTTAAACCTTAAACATATTTTGATCACACCTTCTATGTGGAACTTTATGGCATAGAATTATGTTTAATCTCACAAGAAAGAAATGATGTAACCAAAACTTTTCACATAGATTTTTGTTTGGAAGTTAGGAGCCAGTAATCATGTATTTGAAAAATACAAAACTGTTTGCAGACCCATAGGAAACATTACACACATGCAAAGAAAAGGGGCCGCCCATAATTTCAAAACAAATCCAACAGTTAAGGTTATTTTTATTATCTTTGGAACTTTTTTAGCTTAGGTGATTTTAATCAATCCACATATATCACACATATATCCACATATATCCATTTTCATCTGGAAAAAGTAGAAAACTGACATTTCATTTTCAAAAGAGAATTCAATTTAAAAATTAAAGCAGAGGAACAATGCCTTCTACTGCTGGCTTCTGGAATATTATTTAGTCATATTGCTGATTTTAATTGATCATATTTTCCATCTTATTTCATGGAAACATTCTTTCATTCTACAGTCTTCCAAAGTTAATAGACACTGGGTTCTGTAGAAACAGAATCATAGAATTTCAGAGCAAAATTACCTCTTGCTTCTCAAGCTTGACCAATTTACTATGTGCCAAATCATTTTAGTCTAATGAGAATTAGAATTTTTATAATTTCACAGTTACCCCTTTTCTTACATTTGTATAATTCTGTGCTACTCCACATAGACATTCTAACTTTCTCAAAGGAATATCTCTACAAATTCTTCCACTCTTTCCCTGATGTTTTACACAGAGTAGGCCACTGAAGCAACAAGGATTTCCCACATCTTACACATGCTCATCTAGCAGCCACTACCCTCTTCCTATCCTGTGCCCTTCCTATCCTGAAGGCTACAGATGCCTTGTGTTACCACAAAGCCAGCAGCCGGTACACAACAGGTGCAGCAAGTGTGGTCAGTGTTGCCACCTGTTAACCAACTGCATCTCAACAAGATATGCCAGTCCTCAAGATGCCCACTAGGCTGTACCCCATTCCTTCCAAAGTTTTGAGACTGATTCCTACATTAAATGGAAATATCAAAAACAATCTATTCCAGCCCTTCTTTCCCACCCAAATGTTCCACCTAAACTACTCAATATAGAGATCTCTAATTATCATTATTATTAATAATAATTATTATTATTATAACAGTAAAAAAACAAAAGAGGATGGTTAACAGGTGCAGAGGTGCAGTTGGGTAAGAGGGATAACTTTCAATGCTTTGTGGCACAGTAGAATAATGATACAGTAAGAAAACTATAACTGACAACAATGAATTGACTATTTCTTATAATTAGCAGAGATGATTTTGAATGTTCCCAACAAAAAGAAATTGTGTATGTCTAGGGAGATCAATATACTAATTGCCCTGATCTGATCATTACATGTTGTATCAAAATGTCATATGGTATCCAAGAAATGTATACAATTACCGTGCATCAATTAAAAATAAGAATCTTTTTACAAAAGCAAGAACTATGGGCATAGTTTAGTTGTACAGTGAGTGCTTAGTATGGGTGAGATCCTGGATTAATACCTAACAACAAAAAGTAAAATCAGAATAGTCCCAGTTAATTAGTCTAGTGGACAAAAATGAAAGGTTTTAAAAAATGGAAGTATGTAGTAGTACCAACTACATTCCCTTAGACCAATGAATTCTCAGCCTTAGGATAAATGTGACTGGTACCATTTGCCCACACTGTGTACGTGCTCATGCATGTCACACACACACACACACACACACACACACACACACACACACACACAGTCACCTACAATGTTTTGGGGGAAAGACGGAAGAGGAAAGATAAATGTCCAGAGAGTAACGGAGAAAACATGGATAGGACAGTTGCAAAGTACATTTTTTGTCGTAGCCTTATATCTCTGCTGCTATGTTTCAGAGCTAGGTTGTTCCCATGAGCTTGTTAATTCTAAAGTGGGCAAACTTGTCAGTGATTACAAGCATAGCAGGGGAAGCTATTAACTGGCCAACAGCAGAGTGAACTTTTCGTGTGAGGAAATCAGAGCGCTATCACTCCATGCTGAAGAAGGACAAATGCAAAAGCTGAACAATTAAGGTTATCAATATTTATTATTAGGGAAACACAATAGGACTTTTTCTCAAGGGCATTTTTAGTGTAATTCTCACAAAAATGTTCATTCACTAAATGGTTGTTTCTTCACTGGAAAAAATCCATGTTAAACAACATAATTATCTTCCTATGGTCTCTTTCCATGGACTCTATGTCCCCTCTTTTTTTACTATTATTATGAATCCAGTGTTACCTTATAAACTCAATCTGATTCATATTGCAAACAATTAATATGTTCTATTTTATGAGGCAGCCTTCTTTCCTCTCTTAATACTACCTGAGGAACTTCAGAAAGGAACTACTGCTTCACATCAACTCACGTCTTCCAGACATGATTTTCTTTTCCCACTCCAACTTTAGCAGCATCTACCCTCAAGAGAGAGCTGGTTGGTTGTAAAGTTAGATAATACAGAGTTCTTTTCTGTATTTTATATCACTCCACACCAACATTAGCAATAAACTGTCTTATTGCAGCAGCTGTACAAGTGACTTGGTGACACTAGAGTAACTCTCCTGTGAGCACTTCAGTTACCCATGTGAGTGCCTGACATTCGGCATGAGTGTGGTAGCAGTCAGTGTTGACTTCAGTGAACGCTGATCTAAGTGTACGATGTGTAGCAAAGTGGGTTAAACCTCCCCCAAATGGTCCCCCTATGCTGACCCTATGAAGCTCAGAAGTGTGTTCCTACTATTCAGGAAATCAATTACAGGTCCATTTTGGGGTGATTCTTTCAGTGTTATTAGGCATAGTACACAACATTTCATTAACATTGGAAAAATATCTCAATAAAAACTTCCTGTATTTTCCTGTACTAGGTTTGTGGTTTTGCTTTCACATTTAATTTTTAATATATCTATTTATACAACTTATTTTTCATCTATTCTATATTCTACTATTTTCTATTTCATATTTTATATTCTATCCAGGTCTCTCAATATCATTTTTAATTCATCCATTTTCCAAAGATCAAACACCAAGTTTAATCATGCATTTTATTGATTTGCATAACATCTTAATACCGGGTAAGATTTTTGCCTTCTTACAGCTCCTCATTTCCTAAGGTATTTATGCTTATTCATTCATCTGCATAATCAGCCAATGAAGGAGCAAAGGCAAAAAAATGTTCCTAGGATTTTAATTAAATATTTCAAAGGTTAAATTGTCCCATCTATGAATAGGATTTACTCCAAATTTTCCTGAGATTTTTTAAAAACATACTTTACTCAATGGTAAGATGTATTTAACTAAATTTCTTATGTATATAGTATAGGTTTTGTTTCTATGGACACTGGAATTAATATTCAGAAGCACGTTAAAGCACTTTTTCTCTTTCTTCAGCTGCTAGACACTGGAACCTAAAACACATATTCGACTTCCGGATTCTACCAAAGAATAGAGCCTTGCTCTGTCCTTGCCAAAGACAGAACATCTTGTGAAAGGGTTTTCCTCACCCCCCAGGATGAAACCCAAGGAGAAGGCACCAATCTAAAATTCACTTCACACTAACATCCTTTCTTTTCTAACCCTTATAATTTAATCTAACAAATGTCCTAGTTACTTTCTCATCACAGAAAGACAACACCCAGCAGCCACAACTTAAAGAGGAAAGGGTTATTTTGGCTCACAGTTTGTACCAGTTTCAATTCATTGTCAGCTGGATCCAACCCAGGGTGACGTGGCAGAGCAGGAGCATCTCAGGGCATGGCCCAGGAAGTAGAGAGCCATGAAGGACAGAGAGAGGGGAAGACCCTTGCAGGCCATGCCCCCAGTGACTCAGCTCCTCTGACCCAGCTCCACCTCCCACACCACATGTAGCTATAGCCTGTTGCTGAACTAATCTACTAATGACTATCAGTTCCTCATGATTTAATCACCTCCCCAAAGCCCCATCTATGACTGAATGAGTTGTTAAGGGTATGTGTAGATATAAACCATAACAATATGCTTGGACTACAGTGAGTATTCGAGAAATTCACACCACTTAAATTACTTCAAATTCCTTCAATGAAAAAATTTTAAGAGAAAGAGGTAGAAGGGGAACTTCATGGATATATCATGCAGCAGCACTATTTGACCTCATTTTGAACCTAATTCACACACATTGAAAAATCAGTGAATAAAATAACCAAAACTGACCACAGTAAACTTGATATCATTAAGGAATTATTGCTTTAGGTGTCAAAATGGTATTATAGCTATTGGTAAGAATTTCTTAAGAGATATAGACAGTAGAGCACTTATAGGAAAATTATCATATATGGGATTTGCTTTCTAATAATCTGGAGACTGCATGCCCATAGTTACTGAGGTTCACTTCTAGGTGCCTTCTGTGATTATATGCTCTACTACATGCTTTAAAGTTTTAAACTTTACATAAAAAAATTTTCTTTAAAAACAGAGTTTATATATGTAGCTGAGTGGTACAGCCCTTGCCTAATATATGGGAAGCCCTTGGTTCACTCCTCAGCACTGCAAAAAAGAAAGAAAGAAATGAATAAACAAAGCTGGGCAACTTTCTTGAAGATAACAATATATAGTATAATAACCATTGCTAATTCCTATTATTTTGTTTTGAAATCTTGTATCATTTTTATGGTTTTTGTGTTGTTTTGTTTTTGTCTTTGTTGTTATTTTGTTATTGTTTTTTAAATTCTCTTTAAAATAAAAAATTTAACAATTTTTAAAAACCAAAAAATAAAAACAAAGAGGTCTTGTTTTTTATATTAATATTTTCTGAATTT